CGCCGCCGCGCTGCGATGGGCCTGCCATGGGCGCTGCCTCTTCCTCGGGCGCGGCGTCTTCCGGCGGCCCTGCCCTTGGCGACGCAGACGGGATCGGCGGGGCTGCAAACCTCGAGTGCTACAGCGACAACGCATGCTGCTACTGGTCGTGCTAATCTAGATCGAAATAGTGATTGTGCAGTTATTTGGCTGGATAATTTTGCTACTCACACTGTTGGACAATTTGACACTCGTAGCAAACTTTTGGGGTCCCGCACGCTGTGACCGATGTATGTTTTGTTGATTTGAATTGCATGAATGTATATTTTTTTGTATATTCTTTCCCAGTGGCATTGATATCGTAGATCTTTCGAGAGTTACTGTGCGTTGAATATCACTTTTGCCCATGATGCATTTTCATGGATATGGCGTCGTTTACTGCGGTTAGATACCCAGGACATAAACGCACCCAGGCAGGTCGCCCGCCAAAAATACTTCCGAATGGTACCTTATATCTTCTTCCATGGGAAGGCGTCTGAGTGCGACCTACGCATGGCATTGCCCCATGTTTTTTTCCCAACCCTCCTTGGTTGGGTATTCGTTTTGAATAGAGCAGTGTGGTCGCGTCCTTCCTCCTCCCGCCTCCCGCCTCCCTCTTGCCTCTTCCTGTCTTGCCTGCGGGGGGCTGCGATCTGTGAAACTGTCGCCACTTTCGAGGCCTGCTGGGGGGCCCAGCACAGTGAGGGCCACGGGCGGATTCAAATTAGACCTCGCCATCCCTGGGGGGCTGCGATCTGCGAAACTGTCGCCATTTTCGAGCCCTGCTGGGGGGCCAGCACAGTGAGGGCCACGGGCGGATTCAAATTAGACCTCGCCATCCCTGGGGGGCTGCGATCTGCGAAACTGTCGCCATTTTCGAGGCCTGCTGGGGGGCCCAGCACAGTGAGGGCCACGCGCGGATTCAAATTAGACCTCGCCATCCCTGGGGGGCTGCGATCTGCGAAACTGTCGCCATTTTCGAGGCCTGCTGGGGGGCCCAACACAGTGAGGGCCACGCGCGGATTCAAATTAGACCTCGCCGTCCCTGGGGGGCTGCGATCTGCGAAACTGTCGCCATTTTCGAGGCCTGCTGGGGGGCCCAGCACAGTGAGGGCCACGCCGGATTCAAATTAGACCTCGCCATCCCTGGGGGGCTGCGATCTGCGAAACTGTCGCCACTTTCGAGGCCTGCTGGGGGGCCCAGCACAGTGAGGGCCACGCGCGGATTCAAATTAGACCTCGCCATCCCTGGGGGGCTGCGATCTGCGAAACTGTCGCCATTTTCGAGGCCTGCTGGGGGGCCCAGCACAGTGAGGGCCACGGCGGATTCAAATTAGACCTCGCCATCCCTGGGGGGCTGCGATCTGTGAAACTGTCGCCATTTTCGAGGCCTGCTGGGGGGCCCAGCACAGTGGGCCACGCGCGGATTCAAATTAGACCTCGCCATCCCTGGGGGGCTGCGATCTGCGAAACTGTCGCCATTTTCGAGGCCTGCTGGGGGGCCCAGCACAGTGAGGGCCACGCGCAGATTCAAATTAGACCTCGCCATCCCTGGGGGGCTGCGATCTGCGAAACTGTCGCCATTTTCGAGGCCTGCTGGGGGGCCCAGCACAGTGAGGGCCACGCGCGGATTCAAATTAGACCTCGCCATCCCTGGGGGGCTGCGATCTGCGAAACTGCCGCCATTTTCGAGGCCTGCTGGGGGGCCCAGCACAGTGAGGGCCACGCGCGGATTCAAATGAGACCTCGCCATCCCTGCGGGGCTGCGATCTGTGAACCTGTCGCCACTTTCGAGGCCTGCTGTGATCCCCGTTTTCGAAGTGGCTAGGAGTGCTCAGGAATTGTAAAGCATCAGCTTTATCAAGCCCTTTTCCTGTAGCCAGTGTCCTGCGAGTCTCCCGAATTCCGTCTGCAGACATATGTAACCTTCGCTCCGTCATCGCCCCTTATAAAGTATCCTAAACTATTTGCGCCCCGCTTTTGCGCAGGGGTTGGGTACGTCGCCAGGGTAATTTTTGCGTCGACGCTAACACTTTTTTTCATTATCGCATAACTTTTGAGGCCTGGAGCAGCCCGCACTGCGCATGTTACCAAACCTAGTGATCAGTTGTCATCGCAACTTTGATTGTAATATCGTGTGATTTTGGGCCTGGAGAGCCCCGACAATAAATCTGGGCCTGGGGTGCCCCGTGAATGAGAGACTTCTATTTACCTTGATCGAGTTGTCGTCGCAACTCTAATCCATCGTATTCTGGTTTACGATACTTTGCGCACATGCCACCGTGCGCAGGTGGAGACACCTGCATCGAAGGATGCAGTAAGGTTCTCCATTTGATCTCCTTTTCCTTGCTCTCCCAGCCTCGTCACCCGTGGTGACGGGGAGTCGTCCAGGCGTGCCGAAACGTTTTTTTGGGGCGTGCCCTGGGCCCGCTAAAGGCGGGTAGGGTCCCCTAAGTACCCTGTGTGGCGGCGTTGGCCCCTTTCTTCCCTTCCTAGCCGATGCGACCTCGTTTGGAGGTGCAGTAGATATGACGGTTTATTGAGTGGACATCACACCTCTGCTCCCGAACCCTGCCGTTGTCTCCCGTGGGCCCGAGTCCATCGTGGAACGGGCAGGACTCGGGGCGGTGTGTGTGTGTGTGTGTGTGTGTGTGTGTAAAGTCCGTTCGTATCACCATTATATCGTCATATACCGCTAACGTATCCGCTCCTGTATTGGCATGCGTGCCGCATTGTTCTCTGCGCAGCGCCCAGGAAAAAAGTAGTTAATCTCTTCCTCCTTCGCGTTTACGGATTCAGGTCTAGGATCGACCCTTTCGGTCGTATCCCTATACACACGTGCACCTTGCGCACGCCTGCTGGGATGGTCCAGTAGGGTGGCTTTGCTCTCGGCGATGCGCGGGTTCCCATGCCCCGTGGGTTGGCTCCAGAGGCGGGAGGAGCGGTCCCAGGCCCAGGAGTTGAATGACCGCTGGCGCGGGCGCGTGAGCAACGAGAGCCCGAAAACTTTGGCTTCGCGTATCGCACCGCCGTTTTCTGTTTTTCTTTTACAGCCTGCCCCTGCTTGACCGGCGTTCGACTCGTCTCGCGCGCCCGCGTACCAAAAAATATCGCACCGCCGGTTCTGGCCCATCAGGCGTCGGCGCGACACGCTACCCACGTCTCAGTCCCCAGGGTCAGCGTCCCGAGTCTGTAGCAGCCTCCCGCCCTGCGGAGCGGAGGGACGCGCAATCCGCCTGCAAGGCACAGCGTGTCGCCGGGGCCGCCGCCGCAACACGCTAAGCAACATTTCCCGACCGTATGCATGTATGCACACATATGATCTTTTTCTTTTCAATATCTGTCTCCCCCTCTCGCTTCTGAAGAGCACGGCCCTACTGGGGGCCACCAGGCTGCGAGGCAGAGGTTTTCTGCATCATGCGGCCAGCGTTCTCTTCCTCGGCTCCAGGCCAGTGCCGCTGTAGCTTGTCATGTTCGACGACACAGGCGAACCCGCCCTCGTCAGCTGGACAGGTGGCGGGGGGTGCGTGGGACGGTCGCGTTTCCGACATGGGACGGCCGAGTTAAGCGCTTCGCGTTTGGGGGACACTTGCCACAACAGAAGGGTGACGCTGATCCGCGTGGCCGAGTGGATGTACATACAAATGATTGTTGCCTGCGCGCGCGGACGAGGCGTGGCTGCACGAGTGACGGAGAAGCGACGAAAAAGGCCAATTACATTGTTCGGTCGTTTTGATCTCGGTCAGGCCTACACCGCTATCAGTTGTCAACTCAAATGTCGGCGTGCCCGCCAATGACCTTTTATGATCATGCCAACTTTCGTTTTCGCTGTCGCCGGGATCCCCAACATTACTTTCAGCAGGTCCCACTGCAAACCCCGAAGGAATCCAAAATCGCCCCTGCATTCCTCATTGGCAGCTTGCGATGCGAGTTCCCTGGCGCGGTTCGAACCCAAGCTCGCGTGAAGCGCGCGTGGTTCTCGTTCTCCATAAATGTGAATGCCATTGCTTTCTCATATATCTTACATATCTCCCATATCTATCATCTCTCATCTGTCTCACTTCTCCCATCTCTTCTACATAACCTTCTCCTTAATCGTAGCTCCCTTTTCTCTCATTCTCTCATCCCTATCTCACCTTTTCGGCCAGTGTATTATGTGTATGTTTATGTATGTATATGTATATGCATGTCTGTCTGTCTGTCTGCCTGTCTGTCTGCCTGTATGTATGTATGTATGTATAGATGCATGCATGCATGTCTGTCTGTCTGTCTGTCTGTCTGTCTGTATGTATGCCTGCATGCATGTATGTATGTATATGTATATATATATATATATATTATATTATATATATATATATATTATATTTATGCATTTTGCATTCACATACACCTATATATACATATATATATGTTGTATATATATATATATATACATCGCTTCTCTCTCTCTCTCTCTCTTTCGTTTCCTGGACAGCAGACAAATCATGAGGCAGGGACATAAACATGAGACGGAGCAGCGTTGGAGGGGGGTCGCGCACTATCGCGCAGCTGGAAGAGACAAGCGGGAGGAGAATGAGCAGGAGGACGATGACCACGAGCGGGGGCGGAATGGAGAAGGGCGGGAGTGTGAGGAAATATGAGCGGGAAACGAGAGCAAACGTGGGGTGGATGGGTGCTGGGGAGGGCGTTCTAACAGTTTCGCCAGCCGCAGAAAACGTTCGGATTTTACATGGTTTTGGCCTCTTCCTCCTCCTCCTCCTCCGCCCCGAGGTCCTCCGATTCGGACGATCTCGCTGGACGTCCGCTGGGGGCCCCGGGCCCCCAGCGCCGCACTCCCGAGAGAGGCCCCCGAGAGCAGTCACGGCCAGAGGCCCTGGGAGTGCCCCCGTTTGGAGCGCCCGTAAGTTCGGGGCCGTGGGTCCCGAAGAGTAGGCACGGTACTTCGCTACTTTACCTGCTCCTCCTCCTCCTCCTCCTTCCGTAGCCGTTTTGGCTCAAGCCGCCGGCGCTCGAGAGCAGCAGCGATTCCTGCACTCACTGCAGCAGCAGCATCGCTCCCACCGAGATGGCCCGGCTCCTGTCGCTGTGCGCCGCGTGTGCCGGCGCTTACGCCGTTGTCCTTTGCCTCACGGTCCTCTCCGCGCCCGCGCCGGCCGCGTTCCTCTCGGCGCCCGCGCCCGGGCGGCGCGAGGCTGTCCAGGGCGCTGTCGCGGTGCTCGCTGCGGCGGTCGGCGGCGAGGCGGCGCTGGCCGACTTCCAGGGCGAACCGGTGACCTGCATGAAGAGGTACGGCCCGGCCATCATCAACCTCAAGAGCGCGATCGACTCTGGCGACATGAAGGCCGTCCTGGCCAAGGAGAACAAGTTCAAGATGCTCAACACGTTCTGGCGCAACCAGCCGAAGGACTTTGCGGCGCAGACGGAGGTCTCCGAGGACCTCCTGGACGCTGCGGCGGACGGCCAGGTAGACAAGGTGAAGACGCTGTACGCCAAGTACATGGAGAAGACGGAGCTGAAGACGTTCGCCAACCTGCCCCCGGCCAGGCAGTACCACATGACTAACCGCGACGCCTCCATGGGCAAGCGCTGAGTGCCCTCGCCGTGATCGCACCAGGTTCCAACTTGTTTGTGTTTTGGCTGGGTGTTTTTTCAAGTGAACTGGCCCGACAGGGAGTCACAGCAGCTTTTTGCAGGCTGAAGCGTGATGCGCACGCTTGAGAATAGTAGCGGCGTGGACGGAGTTCGCTGGTTGAGCCCTCCTCCTCCTCCTCCTCCTCCTCCTCCTCCTCCTCCTCTACCTCCTCCCTCCTCCCTCCTCCCTCCTCCCTTTTCCCTCTTCCTCCCTCCTCCTCCTCCTGCTCCTCCTCCCCCTCCTCCTCCTTCTCCTCGTCCTCCTGCTCCTCCTCCTGCTCCTCCTCCTCCCTCCGCCTCCTCCTGCTGCTCCTCCTCCTCCTGCTTTCCTCTTGGAGCATGACCCTTTGCCCTAGTCTTGTCCCTCTCGTGTCCGCCTGCCCTCTTCTCGTCGCTTTCAGGTGAGTGTGATCCTCCTCCTCCTCCTCCACCTCCTCCTTCTCATCCACATTCTCTCCCTTCTCCTGTTGCGAACCTGAGCTGGCCTGACGACTCTCTGCTGAGTGCCTACGCCACGGGGACGGGCAGCCGGCAGTTGGTCGCCGCCTGGACCAGGTACAGCTGCATCCGGCTGGGTCCTGCGATGGGCCCAGTCTTTGGGGAGGGGGGGGCACACCTGATGTGTTGGAGCAGTCTTGGCGAGATGCCCGCGGCAGGCGTTGACCTGCAGCCGCCCCACTGGGTCGACACGGAAGCCAAGGACGGGCTGCACGAGATGCCGAGCCGTTGTCGATGATCCTCAGGACGCGTGTTAGCCGAGTTTGTGCTTGCCCCGTTCAGCCCCGCCGATGGCACGTAGCCTGTGTCGGCCCTCAGTACACTTCTTGCGTCGCATCGAAGGGTTTTCGTTGGGACAAGCACGCGTTGGCGCTAACGCGGGTTCGGAGGATCATCGACGCTGCCCGATCCAGAGCGAGCGGCCACGTGGGCGAAGGAGGGGGGTCGGGCCCCACTCTTCGGTCTTTCCGCTGGGAAAGCTGCACAGGGCTCGGGATGGCGTCCGCGAGGCTCTCCTCCATGCTGTGCGAGGGCGGTGTGTCTCCGGGCCGAAGTTTGACCGCCATCTCCATCGCCTCCTTCGTTATGTCCACTTCAGATTCGAGGTTTTCCTTCGCCGTGCGGGGGGCAGGTCCGTTGCGTGTCCCTCTGGGGTGGTGGTCTGGGCGTGGCCTTGGGTGAAGGGCGGGGAATGAGGAGTTGGACGATGATGACGATGATGATGCTGATGCTGATGCTGATGATGACGATGATGATGATGATGATGATGATGATGATGCTGATGCTGATGCTGATGATGATGATGATGATGGTGATGATGATGATGATGATACTGATGATGATGCTGATGATGATGATGGTGCTGATGCTGATGATGATGCTGATGATGGTGGTGGTGAAGATGATGCTGCTGCTGATGATGATTATGATGTTGATGCTGATGATGAGGATGAGGATGATTAGGATGATGCTGCTGTTGATGATGCTGATGCTGATGGTGATGATGCTGATGACGATGCTGATGACGCTGTTGAAGATGTCGATGATGATGATGATGCTGATGATGATGATGGTGGCGATGATTATGATGATGATGATAATGATGATGATGATGATGATGATGATGCTGATGATGACAGCGATGATGATGATGATGATGATGATCATGATGATGATGATGCTGATGATGATGATGGTTGATGGTGATGTCGATGATGATGATGATGATGCTGCTGATGATGATGGTGATGGTGCTGGTGATGGTGATGGTGATGATGATGCTGATGATGATGATGCTGATGATGATGCTGATGCTGCTGATGATGATGATATGATGCTGATACTGATGATGATTATGATGCTGATGCTGATGCTGATGCTGATGCTGCTGATTGATGATGTGATGATGATGATGATGATGATGATGATGATGCTGATGATGATGATGATGATGATGATGATGATGTGATGATGATGAGATATGATGATGATGATGATGATGATGATGATGAGATGATGTGATGATGACGAGATGATGAGCGGAGGAGGAGGAGGAGGAGGAGGAGGAGGAGGAGGAGGAGGAGGGGGAGGAGGAGGAGGAGGAGGAGGAGGAGGAGGAGGAGGAGGAGAGGAGGAGGGGGCGTATAGGGAGAAGCGGAGGAGGGAGGAGGAGGAGGAGGAGGAGGAGGAGGAGGAGGAGGAGGAGGAGGAGGAGGAGATAGAGTGGGTACAGCAGCAGGAGGAACAGAGCACAGAAGGCTGATGACGACGAGGACGAAGACGAGGATGTGGATGTGGATGTGGACGGGGATGAGGATGGCACTCAGGACGACGACGACGACGACGACGACGACAGCGGTGGCAATGATGACGATGACGATGGCTCTCGTGCCCCCCCCCGCAGGACCTGCTGCGCAGATTACTGGTCGTGTGGGCGGGTGGTGCCGTCCTTATCGTCCTCACCCTCGTCCTGCTCGCCCTCCTCGTCCGCTACGTCCTCGTCGTCGTCGTCGTCGTCGTCGTCGTCGTCGTCGTTGTTGTTGCTGCTCTTCTTCTTCCCATCCACGTCGTCGTCGTCGTCGTTGTCGTCGTCTCTATTGTAGTTGTCGTCGTCGTCGTCGTCGTGTTCATAGCCGTCGTAGTCATACCCGTCGTTGTCATAGCCGTCGTCGTCATAGCCGTCGCCGTCGACCTCGACCTCCTTGTTATCGCCGTCTTCGTTCTCCTTGTCCTCCTCCTCCTCCCCCTCGTCGTCGCCGTCGTCTTTGCCGCCGCCGTCGCCGTCGTCGTCTCTGCCGGTGCCGCTGCTGCCGCCGCCGTCGCCTCCATCGCCGTCGCTGTCGTACGTCGGACGTCGCACGTCGTCGTCGTCGTCGTCGTCGTCGTCGTCGTCGTCGTCGTCGTCCTCGTCGTCGTCGTCGTCGTCGTCGTCGTCGTCGTCCTCGTCGTCGCCGTCGTGCGTCGTGCGTCATTGTCGTCGTCGTGCGTGGTGCGTCGTCGTCGCCTTCGTCGTCGCCGGGCGCGACGAGCCGAAGGCTCCCCCCATCGGCCGGGCCCCCCCCCGCTCTCCCAAAGAGGGCCTCGCCTTGGACGAGGCTTCGAGGACCGAGGCTGGATTTTTTCCCAGCCATCCTGTGGTGTTGGGTCCTCGTTTTGACGAGACAGCACCCCTGCGTCTTCCCTCCTCTCCTCCCGCTCGTCCCTTCTCCCACCCCTGCCTCTGCTCTCCGCATATCAACCAATTCGGCACACGCCTCACAAGTTTCGTGGCCCCACGGGGAGCTTCAACGAAGGCCCCAGTGGCCATGTCCACAGCGGCCGCCCCTCACTTTTCGGTGCACCCCTCACACGTTTCTTGGCCCCATGGTGAGCTCCTCCGAAGGCCCCAGTGGCCATGTCCACATGCGGCCGCCCCTCACTGCTGCACACACACACACACACACCTCACACGGTTCGTGGTCCCACAGGGTGTTCCGAAGGCCCCAGCGGCCATGCCCACATGCGGCCGCCCCACCCATTTCGGCACACGCCTCACACGTTTCGTGGCCCCACCGGGAGCTCCACATTTTCCGATTCAAGTTCCCATGTCTCCGACTCCGGCTCCCAACTTTCCGACTCCAGCTCATATTTTTCCGACTTCGGCTCCCAGTTCTCTGATTCCAGCTCCCAACTTTCAGACTCCGGCGCCCGGCTCTCCGAGTCGGAAAGTCGGGAGCCTGAATCGGAGAATTGGGAGCCGGAGTCGGAGAGATGGGAGCTGGAGTCGGTTGCAAGCTGGAGTCGGAGAGATGGGAACTGGACTCGGAAAACTGCGAGCCGGAGTCGGAGAGATGGGAACTTGAGTCGGAAAGTTGGGAGCGCGAGTCTGATTCCCAACTTTCCGACCCCAGCTCCCATTTCTCCGAGTCCAGCTCCTAACTTTCCGAATCCGACGCCCATCTTTCCGATTCCGGCTCCCAGTTTTCCGACTCTGGCTGCCAATTTTCCGAATCCAGCGAATCCAGCGCCCGTCCCTGCGACTCAAGCTCCCAAGTTTCCGACTCCAGCTCTACTTTTCGATTTCGGCCGAGTTCCGAGTTCAGACTTGAGGCGCCCCGTGGCGTGTGGATCCCGCGCGTGGCTTCTGTATGTTCCAGTTCCGCGCGTGGGTCCAGCCGCTTGTGCGTTCCAGCCTCCTTCTTAGACAGGGCTGGCGTGAGTTTGGCGGAAGTAACACCTGAACCCTGGACCCCCTCCAAGAGGCCAACGCCAGAGTACCCAGAGAAGTTCGGAGTCGGCCATCTCAAGGCACGGGTGGGCAGAGACCAGGTGGGCATGGGCGGAGGAGGATCGGGTTTCGTTCGGCTTTTCTTTTGACCTCGAGGAGGCTTCTCTTCGCCACTGCACGCGGGAATCGCGGGAATTCAGCGGGGATCTTTTCTTGACGGGTCGGCGCTGCAGGACGAAGAGGTGAAGCGGTCCGTCCGATGCGCAGTGCCTCTCCAGAAGGCGCTACACATCGAGGCTCGAAAACTGGGCGAGGGCTGCTAAAACCGTGGCTGCTAAAACGGCCCGCCCGGAAGGAAAAAATAACTTCCCGGAATGAGGCGCGGCACGCGAAACAGTCAACGGGCTTCTTCCCGGAAGGACAGAGACAACTTCCGGGAGGTCGATTTTAGCAGCCACGGATTTAGCAGCCCTTGCCCGGCTTCGAGAGGCGACATGGACATGGACAATCTGGCCATGAAACCGTCATAACCCTCACAGCAGGGCAGGCAGCAGGGAGCTTGCCTTGCAATCACGTGCGGTGGCATACTAAACTCCAAGGGGTCCTTTCGTTTGACGACTGGAAGAAACTTACCACTCAAGGTAACTACACATGGCACTCCAACACCTGGTCAGGGCATATCGTACTTCAGGATCGAAGGCTTTGCGGTCCGACATGTCAGTCTGTGTACACGCGGTCCCAGTGCGTAAGCACTGACGCAATCAGCTTGATACACTACGATGCCGACTTCAACGCAGGCTTCCAGTACCTCGGTGCGAACGTCACTGCATTGAGTATACACGTGGCCACGAGTGCCGCATACTCGGGACTCACCCAATGCCTAACAGCTTCCAGAGAAATTGCTCGCTCTAGCGAGGACGTGGCACAGTTTCAGGAGGTGGCAGAG